GTCTTGCTAAGTTGCTAAATTGGCCAGGTTGAGCTTGAACTCGCTATCCTCCTGCCTCAGTTTCCCAGAGTACTGGTATTACAGGCATGCACCACCATGCTCAAATTCTGTGGTCATCTTAAGGCCTTCATTAAGCCTCACATCTTTGGTGATGCTTCCACAGCGTCTCTTCTTTAAGAGATTCATGGTAACTCTTACATTCATTCATGCATTCACTCATTCATTATGGTGATGCTTCTTGAGTGGCTAAGAAATTTTCTAAGCACTGGGTATTCAGAAGAGGACATTCACCTGGGCCAATGCTAGTTGCTATAATAAATAAGCCCTTGAAGCTCAGTGGTGTATTTCCAACTGACATAAAGTCCAAAACTGCCATTACTGTACTGATCACCAGGCAGCCACTTCCAGGAAGTGATTCTGGAACCAGATTCCTCCTTATCTTGGCCACCTTATCTTAAAGTTTAATGAAGATAATAAATTGAATGGAAATAGAGAGCACAACCCATTTTTAAAAAGTGCTAAGTACAGTAACATACAGAGCTCCGTGGCTGCAGTTTTGGAAGGGAAATCCCATGGAGAATTGCTTTTACGTCATTGCCAGGTCCTGTTTGTGTTTAGAGAGAATTAGCAAATCTGAGCTACACTTCTGCCTGGCCTGTCTTCTTAGAGTCTCTTTTTGCTGCCATAAGAAAGGCCCAAAGCAGGGAAGGAAAGCCTAAAGCAATGAGGGCCAGGTGTACAGAAGAAGCCAGTGGGGTTGTATAAGACAGTGGGGTGGACTGACTTTCACTGAGTGGCTGCTATGTGTTCCCTGCTGCTGTGCTTTCTTCCCCATAGCCTATCATCTGGGTTCTAGCCTATCTGCTATGTGTTCCCTGCTGCCGTGCTTTCTTCCCCATAGCCTATCAGACCAAGCCTATCAGCTGGGTTCTATTTTCCTGCTTGCTTTATAGAAGAGGTGACAAAGGTCCAGTAGTGTGACATCACTCGCCAAGCTCAAGGACCAAGAAGCACACAGATCCTCTGGGTTTGACAGGCTCTTGCTTGCAGAAACTGAGTAGTCCGCCATGATGCTGGAATCACGGGTCTTGCAGGAGATTGAGACTCTCTCCATATGAAGAAAGAAGAACAGGGAATTAAAGCAGCCTTTGCAAGACCGTGGGCAGAATTAAAGGACCCCACATGGTTAATGAAACACCTTGGCCAGAGAAGTAGCCCAAAGAGCCCCCATCTACTGCAAGCCTGGCAAAGTGTGGGACATCCAGACAGGACATGTGGCCTGAGCAGAGAAACTTAGTCATTGCCAATCCCAGCCCCACATGGATCGAGGAGGCAGTCCCTACCTGCCACCTCTCTTTTCCCTCCTTCCTGTTTCCTTCAAAGGCTCCCCACTGGTCCAACCCCACTGGGAACTAGTGACACGGACCACACCAGTATCCTTTGCCATTGGCTTTTGTTCCATACTCATGCAAGTACATTTAGTGGAAATAAAATTCTGAGCACCCTTCACAATATTTTTTGACCACAGACTATAAATTTCTGCAGCTTAAGGATTCTGGGAGCAGATCTCTCTGGAAAATGAGACCTGGGACCTGGTGTGGTTGTGGGACCAATCATGCATCCTTAGGCAGAAGGAGTTGCAGGAAAATCTTGGCAGGTCTAAGCTCTATCATGTCTTGGATGGATTTAAAAATCCACGTACCGCTGCCGGGACAAAAAGCACTACAGACAAGTACATGTGATTCAGTGAAACAGGAGCAAACCTGCTGCAATTAAGAATGAGAGGGAACCACCCCAAAGAATACTGCGTCAGAAGGCAGAGAAGGGAATGAATCAAGTAGCCCATGAGGGTCTGCAGACAAGCACCTCAGAGAGAGTCCAGAGCTCACAGCAGGAAGGAAAAGGGGAAACAAAACCAGGAAAAAAAAATCCAACTCAAAACAAAACCACCCATTTCTGATTTCCTGAGCTTTCAATGTGGAGATCATTAACAGGAGCATGCTGGTTAATCTTAATTGCTGGGGCCAAGGAAGTAAATTGCCAGGGTAATCAGATCCCAGAGCATACAGGGCTTTATAGATTAAAGCAAAGTTATCTCCTAATCCCATCAAAACGTCATAATCTTGTGTCACAGCAGCATCTAAACACAGCTGATTGAGATGCCACGAGTGCCGGATCTGGGATCCATCACAGCCTTGCCGTCCGGAAAGCAAATAACCCCAAATGAGAAGATTGGATTTAGTGTGGTCTGGAGATATTTACTACAAAGACCTGAGTGCTGGCTCCTCTCTCCCTCGGGCTTTGCATGGGGCAGCTCTCGCGTCCCCAGATGCATCCCTGCTTGAAGGAAATTCTCTCCAAATGGAAATAGATTCATCATTTTTGCTGATTGGAAGATTAATATGTGCAGACAATACTGAGAAATAAGAAGAGAAAGCATTCGATTGTACCAGCCAAGATAACTTGTTATTTTGGCATATTGTCTTTCCAGAGCTTTCTTCTATGCACACACACACATCCTCTCTCCCGCCCTCTTCCTTCTCCCCTCCCTCCCCCTCCCTCTTTCTCTCTCCTTCCTATCCCTCCCCCAAATCTTCTCTATTCTTCTCTGTACTTTTTTTTTTTTTTTTTTTTTTTTTTTTTTTTTTTTTTACCTTTTTGTGGTACTGGGGATTGAACTCAGGACCTTGAGCTTGCCAGGTAGGCACTTATGCCACTGAGCTATATCTGCATCCCTCTTCTCTGTACTCTTAAGAACATCATCTTTCTGGCCCCATATCCACATGGCAAACATGGCTACCCTATACCTCTCCTGTCTCCATCCGCTTGGAGTAGTCAACCAACAAGTAGTCAATTACCAGCGTCTCTGAATTCCCTTCTGGATTTCAAACAGAGAGCATCTAAGGTGTCCCCCTTCAAGCACTGATGGCCTGACTCTAGGGTCACATACACACGCAAGGAGTGATTGAAAGATACAGTGAATGTTTGAATTAAAGACCTCAGAACAGTAAAACACACACTGCCAAGAAAGATGGGGTAAGTATGTGGGAAGCAAGGGAGAGTATTTTGAGAGGGATTAAAAGCAATGTGTCTTTTATTATAACACATTTTTAAACCTAAACATTCTCCTTATTTTATGATCACCCTTTGTTGATCAAACATTTGTCATCATTTTTGTTGAATAAAAGTATTACGGTGTGTTTTCAACTACTTTGTTCACTGTATCTGGCCCGGTGTGACTTCTGGCTCTTCCCCAAAGTCAAAATGACCATGAAAGGTAAAGGTTTTGAATCAAGACAGCCATGACAGCACAACTAGATCACGGAAGAGGACTTCCAGAGCTGCTTCAGAAAGTGGCAAGCATGATGGGACGAGTGTGCTTCAAGAAGGGGGAAATATGTCAAGGGGGGCTAAGGACAATGTGTTTTTTACTGTAAGACCATTTTGAAAATTTAAATATTCACTGTATTCTTTGATCCCACCTAATATTCAACACATATGGAGCAAAGCACTCTTGTGGGAGGTGAGGAGGAGGACAGCCAGCTGGGTGGCTGCTCTCAGTCACATCTATTTTAAGTAGCCCCAGCTTGTGTCCTGCTCCTACAAAGAAGAAGTGAGTTGCAAAAATCCTTCAGCTGGTGAGTGGCTGACCCAAGTCTGTGATCCAGAGAATATTCTTCCAAACTCTGGGGTCACTCTAGCCTATCCACTATTCCTCCAACCTGGAAGTGTTATAAGGTCTTATTGTGAATAAGAATTTGAGAATAAACATGGATACCATTGAGCATTTATGCAACATTTTATATATAATTTTAGGGTGTTCAAAGATCTCCTTAAGTTGGAATTTTGGTCCATAGATGGAATGTTAAGTAACTTGGCAGAGGAAAATAACACCGATGTATTCAAAATACTCATCAGTTTCAAGTTCAATAACTTCTCATTGCCTTCTTCAGAAAAGAAGTCTTGGTTCTCTTGGAAAGTGATGACGTGCAGAGGCCAGAAGGTGAAAGCTATCTGTCCTTTCCTGAGTCGGCTGGGTCACTGGCATCTTGGCTTCCTCCCTCCTTTCCTCCTTCTTCGATGGCTACTTCCTGGAGTTTCTCTTCCTCTGCTTCTCTCCTTTGTCCTTCCTTCCTTTCTGTATCATTTTTGGTTTCATCATTTGAGTCCTCTTAGTACATGTTGATTTTATGGGTCACTGTCTTAGTCACATTCTTGTCACTGAGACACAGTACCCAGCCTCCACAAATTAAAGGCAGAGCAGTTAAGGTTGGCTATGTGTTCAGTCCATGGTAGGTCAACTCCAAGGCAGGAAGGGCATGGTGGTAGAAGGGCCTGGCAAAAGAAAACTGCTCACTTCATGGGGGGCAGGAAGTAGAGAAAGAAAGGAGGAACCAGAGAAGGAGATACACCCTTCCAGGCTACACCCCCAGTGAGCCATTTTTATTGACAAGACCCCACAAAACTGTAAGTCAGTGTGTCATCCCTATGACCCATTTACTTCCAAAAGTCCTGCCTATGAGCACATAAGGCCTTCAGGGGACACTCTTGATCCAAACCTTCACAGTTAGTTTTGGTGACATCAGGAAGAGTTAACCAGACAAAGCCCACTTGTGATAATGGACGGAGAATCCATCCTCTGGTCTTTTGCTGTGAGATCCAAAGCCCATGTCCCGGGTTGGAGCTCAGCCTCTGAGACTCCTTTGTTCTCTATCTTTGCACATGTTCTTGCCCTTGGTCCAGCCAGCTTCTCACTCATAAAATGAGCATCCTGCCTCCAAGGATGTGGGAGGTTCCTGAATGAACTAGCTGCTGTCAGATGTCAAAAAGACGTTTCACTGAGGAGGGGTCTGGCTCATTCCCTTTGGAGCCAAAAACAAGAATTAGCGAGTGTCGGGCTGGGGATTTAGCTCAAGGGCAAAAAGCGCCTGCCTGGCAAGTGCAAGGTCATGAGTTTGGTTCCCGGTACCGGAGAAAAACCAAAAAAAAAAAAAAAAAAAAAAAAAAAAAGAATTAGCGAGTGTCAGTGAAAACTGAAGGAAAATAGAATTTGGTTTAAGAAAAAGGAGCTCTTTTCCTGGGCTGTCCAACAGTGGAATAGGTTCTCTCCAAAAATACCAAGCTCTAAACAAAGAAATACTAAGCTCTTTGTCACTAGAATTATTCAAAATGAGGCAAAAAAAAAAGGAGAAAGCCCTGATACTCATAAATACCACAAAGGTTGTTCTAGCTGGGATGGCCATGCACACATGTAACTGGACTACTCCAGAGACTGAGACAGGAAGATCACAAATTGAAGCCCAACCTGGGGACCTTAGTGAGACTCTGTCTCAAAATAAAATTTAAAAAAGGCCGAGAATGTAACTCAGAGGTGGAGAACTTGTCTAGCCTGAGGAAGCCCTGGGTTCTGTCCCTAGTACTGCACCCCAGAAAGTAACTCTAAACATTATGGACATACAAATGTTGACCACTGACCCTCCCTATCCCAAGACCTAGCACTGGTGCTGTCTTAATGCACTTGGGTTTACATACCCACACTTCCTATTTTCTATTTTCTTTCCCAAGGTCTTCCTAGCTACTGAACTTCATAGATCTTTACAGGAAGAGGCTTATCAGGAGGTTAGACAGTAGAACTCTAGTCTGAATTGGCAAACATAGTCTGTGGCACTGAGGAACTGGCCCCCACCTCGCACATACTCGCATGTGGATGCAGGACAAAGGTGAAGCACAATGAGTCACGCGTGGGCCATGCAGGGATCCCCCAGAGGAAGAGCAGGAGGAGGGAGAAGAGAGTTGGCTCTGCCTGGGCAGAGCACAGCAAGGAGGTCCGAGGATGGAGGAGCTGCCGCCGCTGGAGGTTTCTGTGGGATTTGGTGAATGCAAGATATGTTCCACTCTCCCTTTTTACCCCTAGGATCATCAGCTCACTCAGGCTTGTGTATCAGGTGGTCAGCTTCAGTATCACAGCCACATTTGGGTAGAAGAGGGGAAACATAAGGTGTCAGCTGGCTTCCGAGTCACAAGTGTAAAATGGGACCACAGATGGTGCTCACCTGAGAGCTGAGGAAGGCAATGTGGACAACGCCTGACACACACCAGGTGTCTTTAGTTGTGACTGCCTCAGGGTCCTGAGTCAGCACAAAATGCTGGCCTTTTGTGGTCATTTTGACTTCAGGGAGGAGCCAGAAGTCACACAGTGCCAGATCCGACAAACACAGGACACACTGCCATGTTTTTACAAGGCTGCCTTGTCAGCGGATGGCACCTGGCGGCAACAGTCTCATACTTTTATTGGCACCTTGTAACGATGCTCAAGAAAGAGTACTTACAGAACTGCTTCAGAAAATGGCAAGAGCCATGGGATAAATGTGGAGAGAATTTTGAGGGGGACTCATGGCTGTGAGTCTTTTACTATATATAGGAAATTCTTTTTATTTAAACTTTCACCATGCTGTTTGATCACCCTTTGTAACAGGGACTCACAAGCTTCCTGATGGTCTGAGCTCCCCTGGGCATATGAGGCCATCTTTTCCTACAGCTGCTGCGCATTTCTGTCTGAAATGAGCAGGTGTCGAGGTTTCCTGAGCGTTGGGATTGGGGTTTGCTTTGGTGGGGGAAGTGAGCAGGCTCAGCCTCCGCATCCAACACTTTCCTTACTTCTCTTGATCTTTCCTGCCCCACGTCTAGTGCAGGAAGGCCTCAACTAAATGTGTCACTCAGACTTTTCACTACCAAACCTCAGGAGCATTTTCTTCACAGAGATAAAGCAACCCAGTGCCATGTCTAGCTCTGAGAGGCATTTGTTTTCTGACTTTTGTTTTGGCAGACAGAATGATCATCAAATCCTGGATTCATTTCTAAAAAGCCAGAGGTCCCAAGTGGTGGGAGGACACAAGATTTCCCTTTGATGTGAATTTATTTTAGAGTATCATTAATGAATCAGCCATGTCAAAGTTCACCTAGGCTACTGACTTTTGCCTTCTTTACTTGGAACGAAATAATGAGCCAAGTCTAGTGTTGGCCCATTGTAATGCCAGAGACACTCAGAAGGCTGAAGCAGGAGGATCCCAAGTTCAAGGTCATGCTGGGCAACTTGGAGAGACCTGTCTGAAAATAACAATAAGAAAAGAAGGGATGGAGAAGTAGGTCAGTGGTAGAGTGCTTGCCTAACATGAACTAGGTCCCAGTACTATTAGCGATAAAATAATAAAAGAAACCAAACCAAGCAAAATAAAGACAAAACAGTATTGAATCCTTGGGTTAGGAGAAAGTAGGTTTCCTAAGGGAAGAAGCCTCAATGGTGTGGGAAGTGGTCTTGAATTACTTGGAAGAATAGATCATGCATTTGGTGGGTTGAGAATAGGGAATGGAGGAGGCGATGGTGGATATGGGCATATGTGAGCTAATGTCCCCACTCTGGTCATTTCCAGGACAGGGGAGCTCACCCCATGATGCCTCCAACCGCCATCCTGTGAGCCACAGACATCTTTGCTCAGACATTTGGCTTAATTCTTGGCTGAACACCCTGAAAACTCAAGCTGACCATACTTGAGAATCTCTTCATATGGCATTTTGAAATCCAGTTTTGTGTGACTGGGAAGCTGACCGGAGAGAGAGAAACAACCCCAGGAAGTCTCTGTCCACACTGGCCGCCACTGGGAACTTGAAATTGTCTTTAAAGCAACAGAGAAATCAGCTCCGTGAGAGAATCATTTCATTGTTTTTGAAAATTCAGTTAGAAGTAATAATAGTAAATGTTAAACAATATAAAAGATACCAATAAGAAGAGTAGCAGTAAATACAGAATATCCTTTACCAACTGAATATTTAGCACATCACTCTCTTTGATTATAATAAAGATAATCTCTGGCGTACAGTGGGCACTTAGCGTGTTCTGAAACTTTTCTAGGACCTTCACTGTATTAAACCATTTATTTCTCAAAGCATCCTCCCCAAGGTATACGCAAATAGTGTCTTCACTCTATAGAAACCGAGGTGCAGAGCAGTTAGAAGGAGGCAGCAGCGTATTGAATTGTTGTAGCACAGCTACCTTTGGTAGATTTTCTCCTCTCCCATGCCTGGAGAAATGCAGGTGGGGTCCCGCGCTCAGCACAGCTCCCATCGCTGAAGCAGCAAAGCTCAGTGTCGACCTCTGGTTGCCTTCTAGGCTGGCTGGCATCTACAGTTACATGGTGGTCTGGCTGGACCTGTCCTCATCACCTTCAGCATCTCAGAGGGATTTTTAGCAACCTTAGCACCTGTGGGCTCAATGACTTAGAGACAGGGATAGAAAGGAAGGTGAGGTTGGGACCTCTCCCACTGTCCTTCTTCTTGCTCTCATCTTTCTTTCTGTATCCCTGACAATCCATCAGGAAGACAGTTTGATGATGAAAAAGGTAGAATAGAAGCTAGAGAGGTACATGTAGGGTCAAAATGTGGCCTTTCAATTTGAGGATCCACCAAACGCCCTAGATCCCCCAAACCATGTTTGAATAGCTTCTTTATCTCAGCTTTGCTGCCACCTCTATCACATAGTAAATCATGGAAGAAAGTCTATTTCTGTGTCCTCCTTCTATTCCTGCCAACGCATTCGGTCAACTCTCCCTCCCCTGTCCCCCATTTGATTATTATAGCTGGATTATGTTATTATTCAGGAAGGCAAATACTTTCACCTTTGGGGAGAAATTCTTGGCTAATCTCATGTATTTAGTCATCCAAATGAACTTGCAAAGGGTTTTGGCATACACTCCTCCCCTGACCTCGCACCTCACTAAAACAATCCCTGGCATTTTGTTTTAAAGTTGCACGACATCGAAACAATTGGGAAACAATGACATCCCAACAATGTTGGATCTCTTTATGAAACAAAGCCCTTTCTGCGTGCCTTTTAGGCATGTGTAGGAACACCCTGCTTGTGGGAACTATATATTTTATATGAAGATTTTTGCCCTAAGCATTTAATTAAAATTGTTGCTATTGAAACTGACTCTTTTTATTGTCAGACCACTCTTTGTTGCTGTTTAAGAAAGCTATTGATTGGTGAGTGTTTTATTTGATATTTGGCAATATAACAGGGCTTTTTATTGGGTTTTGAAATTTTTTCCGTGGTTTCCTCTGTGTTTCCTAGATAGAATAGTTTGTCATCTGCAAATGATATTTTTCTTCCTTTTCATGTGTATTTGTCTATTTGTTTTTGTTTTACAAATCTTTATGTTGCCTAGAGTGTCCAGAAAAAAATGTTAAGTATTAATAGTGACAGTGAACATCACTGTCTTATTTAAATTGCAATGAAAAATGCACTTGCAGTAAGTCACTATAGTATCACTCTGCATGTGGCTTTGAGGTAAATAAACTTTAGAATTAAAAAAAAATTCCCCCTATATTCCAAATTTTCTGGAGGGATTTTTGCTACGTAGATGTTGATTGTTTTTGTATGCCTTTTATGAATCTTGTTATACATTTTTACTTTGGGCATAAATGAACTATTTTATATTTTACTCTTAGCACGAGTCCTGTGGAGGATTATTCTTTTAATTAATACTCAAATTAACTAGTGGGGATTTCTGCATTTGTGATTCTCAGTGAGGTTAGTCTATAGCTGTGTTTTCATTACCATTTTGATTATATATTGTATTACCAGGATTATAGCTTCAAAGAATTAAGTAAAAAGCAATTCACGTTTGTCTATGTCCTGTGGCAAATATAACATAGTATTACCAATTTTGTCCACCTTAAAAACCTGACTATTTCTGTGAGGTTGAGTCAGGAAGATCACTAGCTTGAGCTTAGCCTGGACACTTTTGTGACTTAGGAGCCCCTGTGTCAATAAAAAATAAAAAAGTGCTGAGGAAGCCCCTAGGATCAATGCCCAGTATCACAAAAGCAAAACAAAACAAATGTACTATTAAAACTGCTCCTTGAATCTCTTTTAGAGATAATGTCTTTAAATATTGCCCTTTGACATTTGAATCTAACCTTCTGTTTCTTCAGTTGATCTGGTAATTTATATTCCTGAAAATACCGGTCATTGTACTAACACGTAAGCTAAGCATGTGTGTGTGTGTTTGTGTCTGTGTGTGTGTCTCCCTCTGTGTGGTTGTATTTACCTGGTTTACCCTTTAGTTTAAAAATAGTCCTCATGCGAATGTGTATCTGATAACATCCGAAATACATAAAGAACTCCTCCACTCAACAGCAAAACCACCAAGGGACTTGACTGACAAACGGGCAAAGGGCTTGAACAGACATTGCTCTAAGGAACGGTCCTAGGTCTGTGAGACGGTGCTTGCGAGCGGAGAAGTGCAAGTCAAACCCATACTGAAAGAGCACTTCGCGTGTCAGAGTGGCTCTTATACCCACATGCAAAGGTGTGGATGAGGCTGTGGAGAGAAGGGACCTTTTGTACACCACTGTTGGGAGTGTGAACGGGCACCGCCACCGTAAATAGTGGAAATACTGCGTGATCTGGCAACTCCATTTCTGGATAAACATCCAAATGAACTCAAGTCAAGATGTCACAGGTATCCACATGCCTATGCTTAGTGCAACGTTATTTCTACACCTAAGAGGGAAATAGCTTGTGAGCATTGATAGACAAAGGAGAGTAGTACTGCAGAGACATACACTGGAAAGTCTTCTGCCCCCCAAGAGAAAAAATTCTCACTATTTGTGACATGGACAAAGTTGGAAGACAGTAGACTATGTGAAATCACCTGGACACCCAAAGCCCAAGGCCACATGACCCATAACCTGAGAGTCTATCGAGAAGGAGCGGGTGTGAAGTGGTGGTGGGTGCCCGGGGCTAAAGGGATGGGAAGCAGTGGGGAGGTGCTGGTCACAGGATGCGAAGTTTCAGTTAGGTAAGGTGCACAAGTCTGAAGGATCTCCCGTGTGGCAGAGTTCACAATACTGTGCTGTATACTAAGGAGTGTGCTAGCGGGGGTTGGAAGTGCACCCTGTAATCCCAGCACTCTGCGAGGCAGAGGGAAAGGATGGCAAATTCGAGCCCAGCCTGGGCAACTTCGTGAGACATTGTCTCAAAATTAAAAAAAAATTTTTAAAAAAATGTAAGAAGGACTAGGGATATAACTCAGTGGGAAACCCCTGAGTTTCATCCCTAGCATCAGATAAATACACATACGTGTGCGCGTGATAAGAGGGTAGGTCTTAGATTGAATGTGTTTTTTATTTATTTATTTTTTGAGACAGGGTCTTTACTTATTTTTTGTACTAATCCAAGTCCTTGAAGACTTATTTTTGGGGATTTCACATGTTAGCTAATGGAATGGGAGCAGCCCAGGCTGATCCTCAGGCTCAAAATGATCTTCCTGCCTCAGCCTCCCGAGTGCTGGAATTACAGATGTGTGCCATGAAGCCCAGCTTGTTAACTATTTTTATAACCAAAAAGAGAAAAAGTAGGAACAAAGAAAAAAGAAAAAAATGAAAGGGTGGGAAAGAAAATATTTGGAGGTGAATGATATGTTTACGTCAAACACCATGGTGATAGTTTCGTGGGTGTGTTCTTATCTACAAACTCATCAAAATATAGACGTTAAACATACACAGGTTTTGAAGTGTCAACTGCACTTCAAAAATGTAGTAAAAAATAGTTCATACATCTCGATTTCTTTCTTTTTCCTATCTAATATTATTTGGAGTTCATTCTCTCAGTTTGATTTATTTTTTATTTTTTATTTTTATTTTTATTTTTTTTATTTTATTTTTTTTTGTTTTTTTCTCTGGTACGGGGAACTGAACTCACGACCTTGCGCTTGCCAGGCAGGTGCTTTTGCCGCTGAGCTAAATCCCCAGCCCCTGATTTATTTTTTAAATACCAACATAGTGAATACCAATTACAGCTACAAATGTGTCCACTCCTGATGTTAATGCTTGGTGCATATAAACTCATTTAAACCTCAGAATCATTTTATTAGGTAGATGTTATTTTCCTCACTTTACAAATAAGTAAATGGACGTCCAGAGAGGTGATAGGACTTGCCCAAATTCCCTGAAGGTGGAAACCAAGATAGAATATTGTCTGCACAGCCTGGGTACATGGTACAAGATGAGTAACAACTCCGTGACTTTTCAAAAAAGCACAAGAGTTGATATTATTGAAAGGGGTAGCCGAGGAATACAGTGATAAACAGGACTGCTAAATAGTTAAGTGGCCTGCCTTTCTGGAATATTGGCCCAGGGAACTTTTACATTCATTCATTCACCCATTCGATGGACTAGTTGATAAATACCTGCCAAATATTTATTATTCTCCTTACAAAGGTCTAAGCACTAATCCAAATCCTTGAAGACTTATTTTGGGGGGATCTCCCATGTTAGCTAATGGAATGGGAGCAGGGGAAAAATAAGCATGGCGAAAGTTCTTGCCACACAGTATAGTGTATCTGGATAAACAGTCCCCTCAGTTCGACCGTGCTTGTGTGCCTCTGGTTGGTTGTGTTTATTCTATAGTTTCTCTCCTTCTGCAAATATTTATTGAGTATCTAATACCTGCTGGGTCCTAGAGTAGATGTTAGGAGACAGACAGACTCCACATGAGGAGCCCGAAGCTTGAGGAGGCTGAAGCTGTCGGGGTGGTAGAGTTGAACACGCACTTCCTGTTCGCCTCCCACCGAGAACAAAGCATCGCTGCGTGGTGCAGTTCTAGGACCCTGCGCAGACCGGGAGTCAAACCACGTATGCCGAGCGAATCAAGGATGCTGTTCGCAGGCTTCCAGGGAGGTGACCATTTCAGAAAATCCCTTTCATCAAAAGCTTGCTCGGAGAAAAGATGAAATCGACCTCATTGCCCACAGGGAGCTGGGACATTTAGCCGGTACCAGGAGACCTTTAAGTCATGACGCGCACACCCCGGGCGCTCTCAGATTGAAAGAGACAGGCGACCCGGTGGCTTTGCCTGGGCCTCACCTTCCGCTCCCGTCACCAAGGCGAACTCAGCTGCAGACGGGACCCGCTGCCTTCAACACGGGCCTTGCATTAGATGTGTGTCAACAGAGATTAGCTCAGCACCCCCACACCGCTATTTGCCATTTGTTAGGCCACCTTCGCCCACCCCGTAATCTAATCTTAGCCGGAGCGATGCGTCTTCCAGGTTAAATGTATTAAAGGAGCCGGGGGATGTAGGCTGTTCCAGGAGGCCGTGGCTTCTCCCTTTCTGACAAGCTTGACCCGAGCTCCGAAACCCCGGCCCCCAGGAGACGCCAGGGGTCAGAACCTGGTTGGTGTAGACGAGAGACAAACGCTAACAGAGAGAGACGAGAGGATATTGGAAACATATTCTCCAGGCCTCCGCGCCTTAGAAATCCGAGAAGAACACCAGGCGACAAGTTAAAGCTTTCACTGCTGGGAAGGCTTTTCCTGCCCATGTTTCAACAAGAACTTGATAAAGATATTGGTGGGGGTGGAGGGGAGGGGAGGAGACATCCAGAGTCCAAAGCAGATGGGAAGTCGGGAAGAGCGATGCTCTGACATCCTGTGCAGGAATTTGGTGGGGGTGGGGGGCGACTTTCCAAAGCACGGATCTGTTCTTTTAATCATGTGATTATTTTTTTTTTAGGCAAATAAATGTTTCGTCGGCAAATCCTGCTTTTCCTTTTCCTCTTTTGTTCCTTTGAACCCCTGCCTAGGTGCAGGAAGACGTCTGTATGGTTTTCTGCTATTCGCACCCAATTCTAGCAGGGTGAGATAAAAGATTCTCCTTTTGCCTCCAAACATGCATTTAAGTCTCCAGCACCTGAAGTTGTTCTCCGGTATTTTTCCTGCTCCCCAACTCTGCCCCCGCCTCCTCCATTTCTGCAGATCATGTTGCTGGCTTTATTTCTCACCGTGAGCATCCCCAAACTGCATTCACTCAAGTTTGTGAACCACTACCTCGGGGCAGCCAGAATCGTTTTTAAAACACCAGAAGGTAGATTTAAAAAAAAAACATGCAGTCAGAAAAGCCGAGATTCCAACAATCCATCTAATGAATTGTCACATGCTAAACACATTGTGTAAGGGTGTCCTTGAGCAAACAAACATAGTCACCTCCCTTCCCCCTCCCTTGGGTGGGCAGTATCTGGATTTCTAACACCATAAATTAGTTTTCCTCTTTTTCATACCTGACCTAAGTGAAATGTTAAGGTGTACACTCTCTTGTGTCTTACTTTCACAGAGATCATCCATGCTACTATGGGTAATTCAATATTTAAAACAAAAACAAAAAACAAAACTCCGTTTAAAATTCATTGTGTGGGCTGGGTGTGCTGGTGTCAGACTGTGATCCCAGCACTTGGTAAACTGAGGCAGGAAGACTTCCGTGAGTTCGAGGCCAGCCTGGGCTACACAGTGAGATCAATGACAGCCTGGACTGCAGACTAAGGCCCTATCTTGAATCAAAACAAAACAAAACCAAATCAATAAAATTCATTGTGTGGCTGTATCCTAATTATTTCCCCAGTCTACTAATAATTTGAGATTACAGGTGAGCACCACCAGACTCAGCCGTTTAGGAGATCTTAAAAACACGACTACTATGAACAGTTCAGGTCACATCTCTTGCTATGAATCAGAATTATTTTTCAAATCACAAAAATCGACTTGATCCCCTCTTTCAAATGCTTCAGTGGATCTTTCTTGCTTTTCAGACAAAAATCAAAAAACCTTCAAGAGTCTGGGAATCTGGTCTCTGCTGTCTTCTTTGTCTCCAAAATGGGTATCAAAGGGGCAACTGTTCCACGTCTGGGAAGACTATAGATGAAAGTAGCAGGAGACAACAGGGAGAGCAGGGGACTGAGGCAAATTGGAGGAGCCAGAAGTAGCTGAAGGCTGACGTCAGCAAACGTGGGGACCCTGTAGCCAAATTTTACCCATTTAAAAAGTTATTTAAAAGTTTTTATGTTTGGGCAAATTCTCCAGTTTTGAAATCCTGACCATTATCCAAATGTTTTTGATATTACTTGAGTAAAAAAAAAAAAAAAACAAACAAACAAAACATTTCTAAGGGCTGCATCTGGCTTCTGAATCCACTGTTTGGAATCACAGGCCCTACTCCCCCTTCTAGAACATTCTCCATCACAACTTCCTGCACAGCTCATGGATTGATTTCTTCTGTCTGAAATACTGTATTCCTATAGACTCCTTAGCTTACTCAGGAAGCCCCATGTGGAATCTCAAGGTGAGTAAAGGAATCTCTGTACATTCCAGGGGCATCTTCTTCCTCTTCATCGCAGCACCTAGACTCCTGGCCAGTACACACACGTAGAAGGTGCACAATACATAGTGCGTGACTGAAGAAATATCACTCAGTGCCTGGCATTGCATTTACATATCTGCCTCTTCTATGATAGCAAAAGGGATCCTGTCATTCTCTTGCTTAAAACCTGCTCCAAACCCTTAACAATTTCAAGAGTAAATATTAGAATCTCAAATGCTTGCAAACAGGGCCCAGGTGCATGAGAAATGCCGACAGCAGAGTAAGGGATGCCCTAGGGAGTGGCAGGGATTGCGGCAAAATAAAAGCATGTGACAGGTTTGTGATCTAACAGAAAGGGGCTGAATCTTCATTGCTCATCACAATACCTGGAATGGGGTAGTTCCTCATTGAGCACACGCTCCTTTCTTTTCTATGGCAAACTCGCTCCGTGTTTCCGAAGGATCAGCACGACAACTGCTGTGTGAGGTGGTGTTCAGAATCCTGGGGCCTGAGAGGATGGCCCCACATATGTGGCATTTGAACTGAGTGTTAAATGATGAGACAGCTCTGTGTCAAGGAAGAATATCTCAGGAAGAGAGAAGTTCATGAGCCCAGCCCAGGGGCAGGAGCCACCTTGGCATGTTAGTGGGGCAGAAGGGAGGCTGACCGATGGGAGCTGAACTGAGGAGGCACGGCAGTGGGGGTCTGAGTGCGCTCGGCTGCAGCGGATGGAGTCTCACGGGCCTGCTGTGGCGTAAGTGCTTTCTTCTGAGTCACACAGGACCTTTGGTGGTGACTCAGCTTCCCTTGATTGTCCTGTGATTCCTGGCTTCTGCTTCCCATATCGCTGCTCTTACTCTTTCCCCCAGGCCTGGGCCTCACCCTGCCCCACTGAATCACTCCAGGGGAGGGGGCTGGACTGAGTCAGTTACTAAAGATCTACGTGTGACTGGGACACATATTCAGTAGAGATATCTGCTACCTCTCTGCTTCATGTGTATGTACACATGTGATGGTTTGGATTACAAACATCTGCAAAGGCTCCTGTGTGTTCAGGGATGGGCATTTGGAAGGTGACCAGACCATAAGGGCTCTAACCTCACTGGTGGATTAATCTCCAATGGAGGAGGGGGCTGTCAGGAGGTGGGGCATGATTGGAGAAAGTCCATCACCAGGGTCAGAACCTGTAAAGGTATACTCTTGTCCCCAGCCTCTTTACTTTTCTCTCTTTCTCTTGCTCTTGCTTTGTTTCCTGGCTGTCATGAGTTCAGCAGCTTTCCTCTACTGCATCCTCTCCCTCTGTGTTCCTGCCTTGGGCCAGCTGACCATGGACTGCATCCCCTGAAACTGTAAGCCAAAATAAACCTTTCCTTTTTAAAACTGCTTACCTCAGTTCTTTGTCACACTCAGGAAAAGCTAACACAATATAATACATATCACATCTCACTATTTTCCTATTGTCTATCTATAATGTATATACTTATAATTATGATTGTTGATCTATTGAGGGATCAGTCTACCTATTTATCTCTCTGTGTCTGTCTCAGACTTTCTTTCTCTCCCACTCCTCTCTCTCCTGCACAGGGGATTGAACCTAGGGCTTTGTGTATGCTAGACGAGCACCCCACCACTAAACTACAGCCCCAGCCCTTTTTATAAAAATATTTTTATTTAGAGGCAGGGTCTCACTATGTAACAGAGGCTGGTCATGAATTCATGATCCTCCTGTCTCAAGCTCCTGAATAGTCAGGATTACAAACATATGTCACTGAACCTGGCTTTTCTACCCCTTTTTAGTTAACCAAAATGAAAATCCAAAAAATGTTAAAATGATGTCTTTACCTTTCCTATCACAGCAACTGAGATTTAACATTTAAATAGCACTGAAAAAGGACCTGGTAGAAAAACTAAGTCTCACTGAGTTAAAGACCTTATTTTGCTATCATCTGCAATACTACAATGAATAAACAAGTGTTTAACTCTTTTAGCGTGTTTATATCTCTTTCCTTAGGAAAAATTCCTGGGAGTATGATTGCTTTGTCAAGTAATATTCCATTTTAAAATTTTCAATACATGTTGTGAAATTGTTTCCATAAAGATTATACCAATTCAGACTCTCTGAAGAGCATTTATTCATTTATTCTGAAAAAGCCACCTAAAAGGCAAAAGAAACCCTGGAAAGAATTTTAGCTTCATAGATGTTAAATAAAGGGTTAAGTGCTCTTTATAGAAAGTAAGCAAATAAAAAAAAATGTAAGATAAGCAAAACAGTAAAATTAAAAGGGAAAATAAAATGGAATTGAAATGTGGACTAATAAATGAAAGAGAATGAAAAACTCACTAATGAGTATTTTAAACATATATATTCACACACATTAGTTACCAAAGAAATGCAAGCCATAATTGCAATATTTTACCCACAGATTTACAATTAAAACCTACTTACCATTCTGATGAAATGGACATTCATATAATGCTGATGGCAATCTGAGCTGATATAAGCTTAATGACAGCATTTTGACACTACGTATCAAAACCCTTAAAAGCATTCATGTGCTTTCAATGGGTAATTTTTCTTGCAGGATTTTTTTCTGGAAAAATAAACATGCCAAAATATTTTGCCACTAACTTATTCATTGTACTGTTGGAAATAATAATAAAATTAGTACGGTGCAGCCATCATGGAAACCAGTACAGAAGTTTCTCGAAAAATCAAAAATAAAACTGCCACATGATCCAGTTAATGGGATCAAAAAGCAAAATCGCCTACAGGGTGATCTCTATTTAAAGCACACAGTGGCTCTCAGCTTATGCAACAGTTTTAACTTTGTGAAGTCTTGCATAATTCCACTTTTGCATAAGTCCCAAAGCTTATTTGTAATCACTGCATGTTTTAAAGTTGCAAAATTCTTGATGTACTTTTTGCTTGCAGTCATCAACTGTTATTCAAATTTTTAGTTCAAGTATCTGAGTACCCAGAGTTCACACAACAGGAAGCAAAACATTTTTGCATATCCCCAACGTACTCCACTCAATGTTGGTGGCTACAGAAGTGTTTGTTAAACATTTGATGAATTTATTTGTAGAAGGATGTGATAGTTTTGCTGATGTTTCATTAGATTTTTCAGGTTCCCCATCTTCCCCAAATGCAGTAGGCAATCTCTGACTTTGTGATTGGTTGGAGACCTTTGACAAATTCTAGTGGATGAGTCATGAATTTTTTGAGTGAGGCATTTAATTGCTTGTGTGGGACCATCAGAATTCTTTTTCCTCTGTCCTTGTGAACAATCACTCCTTGGCATCCCAAGAAGACTGGTTTCAGGATATTCTGTCCATTCTGAAATTTGTGTATGCTTAGTTCCCTTATACAAAATGGTGAAGTGTTTGCATATAACCTATGTACCCTCCCCTGTGTATTTTAAATCACTTCCAGATTATTTATGATACCTGAAGCAATTTAAACATTATATACACAGTCTGTACACGTTCAGTGCTGTGTAATCCACCCTATCCCAAGAGTTTCAATCTGAAGTTGGCTGAATATACATATTTGGAAGCTGCAAATACAGAAAGCCATCAGTTCCAAGTGATAGTTCCTCCATTACCCTTATTCTTACAGTGAGGATGAAACAGAACAGCCCTCAGCTAACTGGGGATGAACATGCAGCCTACATAAGGAATGAGCCTTTGTTATTTTAGTCCACTGATGGGGGACTGTTTGTTACCTCAGCTTAACTGAGCCTCTTCAAACTCAGGGTGTGATATTTGGAGCAGCTGGGATTTGGTTAGAAAAGAATTAGAGCTGGGTGTGGTGGAGCATGCCTGTAACTCCAGCACTGAGGAGACTGAGCTAGGAGGATCACCACAAGTTCAAGGCAACCTTTGCTACATAATGAATAAAGGCCAGCCAGAATTACGTGGTAAAACCTGTCTCAAAGAAAGAAAGAAAGAAAGAAAGAAAGAAAGAAAGAAAGAAAAAGAAAGAAAGCAAGCAAAGAACACAGAAACTAACTAAAGGTCAAGAACACTGACAAAGAAATCCAGCAGGTAAGTTAATTTGCTTCTCTCTGTTTCCTCATCAAAGTGGTTGTGAGAATTCAACAAAATACAGTAATCCACTTCTTGTCCTCTGGTTTCATTTTTCATGATTTCACTTATCAATGGCCAATTGTGATCTGAAAATATTAAATGGAAAATCCCAGAGAGAAGCACCATTGTGAGTAAAACACATACCATCCTGTTCCAACTTGCCTGGGATGTAAGTCACTTATTCATCTACCATACCCATTTGTCTACACTATTTGCTACTAATCCACTATCACTTGGTGGCCCTCAAGATTTTCAGCTTGGCTCTTGGGGCCCTCACTGTGCCTGTGCTGTATCACTCTCATTATATAGGAGAATGACCTCAAAATACAAGGGTAGTGATGCTAGCAATCTTAGAACAGCATAGTGCTGTAATTGTCCTGTTTTGTTTTTAGTTATAAAAATAATATTGTTGTTAACTTCTTACTGTGCCTTATGTAGAAATTAAATTTTACCACAGCTATACAGGAAAAAAGCAGTGTAATGTAGGCTTGGTTGGTATCTGAGGACTCAAGCTTCTGCTGGGGGTCTTGGAATGTATTCCCTAGGATAAAGGATGAGTACTGTCAAGTGTATTCGGTGCCTAGACCTTAGTAAATGCTCAATAAATGATTGCTGACTTAAGAATTTCAGAGAGGAAATAGATTTCTCCCTGCCTGGAGGGGGTCTTGGCTTTCTAAGGATCTTCTCCATTACCTCTGTTGCAAGAATGACATCTTCTAAAGACTCAGGATGGCATCTCATGTAAGAATTCAGTAAATATTGATCGAACGACCCACCCACAATGAGGTTCCTGTCAAGCACTTAATCGCCTTCAAATGGAGTGTTGACTGGTTTAATTCCCCCTCCACCCTGTTTCTGCAGCTTGGTGGCCGAATTCCCTTATCCTCCAACCAAGAGACCTCCCTGGAGCTTGACAGAAGTGTTTGCAAAGGTTAACAACAGCTGTGAGCTGCACGTTCTTTCTGTGCGATCAGTGTTTTACCGCTGGCAAGCCTACAGACCGCCACTTCCCCTTGAGGACCCGGGCAATTGTTCCACAAAAATACGCATGCGCTCACACGGACCCATGGACATACGTACGCACGCACACAAACTCGCACGCATCGACGCACGGACGTACAATTCCATTTCTGTCTAAGGCAGAGAAAAGGAAATGCCGGAGAGGGAAAGTATGCGGGTAAACACAGGGTGATTAGACTTCAGTACTTTCTTTCCCTCAAGAGAATGTTCTATAATGTGTTTGTTCATTCCAACCTAAATCTTCTCATGAAGAAGAAAGCGTGAGGATTATTCACCTTTTTGTAATATGGAAAAATTCGAGGTTTAGCAGCTCCCCCAAGGCCATCTTGGACAGCGCCTAAGAAGGAAGCATTTCCAATCAGGCCGGCTGGGGTCGGAGACCAGAGACCACCGCGGACGAGCCCTGCAGCATCCTGAGTGTGGTGTTTAAGGTCTGTAAGCCTCAGTTTCCACATTGAGCTGCTCCCACCCATGCAGTCTGGGAAGTCAATTTTAAGTCTTTTTTTTTTTTTTTTTTTTTTAAATCAGAGGTTAGATGTAATTATCCTATGGAACTTTCCAAGGCATCAATCATCTACTCTTCTTAATGAGAGGAAGAAACAGAATCAGTTCGAAGAAAAAAAAGGAGGTGGAGATAGAATGTGAGAGAGAGGTTTATGGGAAATGCTTGGCATTTTACCCTTTACCAAAAAGTGACGACGTAAAGCCAAGTGACACCCAGGGAACAGAAACTCAGTGTGAGACAGGAATGATGGTGAACTTCTGACATAGTGAGCAGCTGCCCAGTTTGCCTGGAACTCAGGAGTCCTCTAGGCCCTGAGTCTGCAAGAGCTAAAACTCGGGGCCTCAAGGAACCTGGGGTACGTGTTCTTGAGACAGATGCAGGTGGTAATACTAACCGGCCAGAAAGGCAGCTAAAGCCAGGGATGGAAAGAAGGATTTGACTGAAAGTTTCAAGAGTGGGATTGGGACTCTCCGTGAGCACCACTACACGCCTTGCTCCTGTGTAAAGTTCCCTGAGCTGAGGTTTCCGAGGTCAGGGTTGTGGATCAAGGGTGTGGATCCATTTTTGGTGGGAGAGAGAGGTGGGGAGGGAACGGAAGGAACTAGAGCAGCAAAACTTTAAAAGATGGAGGTCAACAGTGCCTTAAGAGTAAATTCAAAGCAGCAAATAGCAAATGAACCACAAGATATTTCTTTAAAAGACAGACACGGCATAACTGGAGAGGAAAAGAAGGCTTGCTCTGCCCCGGTGTTCCCTTCTGGCAGGGAAAAAACCAACAGAGCAACTTCATCACACCGATTTCTTCACGCTCCGGCAGGCAAGTGATAAAATTATCAGATGAGGCTCCCAATCCTGTCTCTCACAGTCACTTTCGCCGAGTGTGCCGTGTCTAAAATAATGAAGGCAGCTTGATTAAATGTTCGCTGGCTGCAGCCGCTACACTAATTTGGAGATGGGCTTATTAGTTTAATGACCGCTCCAAATCATCAGAATTCATTAGCATTAGTGCTGCAGCTTCATGTGACATCAGCCCAAGGCTCCAGGCTGCCATTGTCACCATTTCTGTATTTATATCACTCCTGCTTCTCAAGAGGGACACTGTGACACTGTGCTTGTGATGTCCATGTGTGTGCATGCTCACATACGTGTATGCATGTATGTATGTGTGTGCACACAAGCCAGGGCTTCCTATTTGCTTTATCTGCATATTGGTTTTATTCTTCTCCCTCTATCAAAAAGTTGTTATAGCCCATTCTGCATTTGGTACATTCATACATGGACAAAGACTGTTTCTGAGTATGTTTTGGTGAATTACTCTTACCATAATATTATGATCCAAAGCTGCTACATTCCCACTCAACCTTCATCTGCCCTTTATCCCTGCTTTCACATCTTATGTGGCCCTTTCCCTCACTCCCTGTTCAGACACAAAGACTTCTTTGCTATTCCTAAAACATATCAGGCATGGTGCTCACCTCAGGACCTTTGCATCATCTGCTTTCCCTGTCTGAAACACTTTTTTGTAGGACAGTATCATGGGTTGCTCCTTCATTCCCAACTGTTGATTCAAATGTCACCTCAGAAGGTTATTATGGGCCTTTCTCACGTACATGTGATGGTTGGGCTTGGCCAGTGGGAAAGTGAAGTGAAGTTGTATTTGTCAGGTAATGCCCAACTTTACCCACTCAGTAATGAAATACAAATATCTTTCCAGGTTGTGATTGTTGATTGTAATAGATCAACCTGACTTGAGTAAGAAGTACCCAGTAGATTAATAAAGTTCTGGGCATCTGTGGGTGATTCACATGGAGGCCACACACTGAAGAGGGATGACCCGCCCCGGATGTGGATGTCACCAGCGAATAGGCTTGTAGCCTGGATGGAATAAAAAGGGAAGGAAGGAAGGAGGGAAGGAGGAAGGAAGTGCTCCCTGTTTGGAAGAGCTCAGTCTTTGCCATTGCCTTTGGCCATCCCCCTCTTCTTTCTTCAGTCGTCCAACACAGACTTGCATCACTGACTCTGCACTCAGCTTCCAGGATTTTAGCTTTTGAATACTACTGGATCTTCCAGCTCTCCAGTGCCTAATGGGCCACTTTTGATTCTCCTACTTCTGATCCAAAGATAC